GTACACCTGAATCTAACAATGTGTGTCAATTGTACCTCGATTTAAAAAGAAGCAACTGGAAAGATAAATTTTTTTAAGTTGCAATTTAAATAATTAAATCATCTTTTGTAGTACTCCAATGTGTAAGTCACTTATTCAGAAAACATTTACTTCATTTCCTCTATGTACTTGACATTGTGCAAGATTATAAAGATGGGAAGGGCTGGTCTCTGAGTAATCTCAGCCTCAAGAGATTCTCAGTTTATGTGGAAGGTGAACATGCAAGCTGACCTGTGTGACACGTCACGATCAGAGCTGCACAGCTATGTTCAGATGTCATGACAGCCTGACATCAGATTCATGAGGTTCTTCCCTTATTTAAGGCAAAATGAAGAAATAAAAGTTTTATTTTTGTTTCCCTTGGCTGCATATATCAGAAATAGCCCCCAGCCTCGCTGCACCTCACATTAAGCACTGTGTCACTGCTGTGTAAGCATTTTATGCTCTAATCTGATCACAGATGAAGCAAACAGATTAAGCTTCTTCCCTGTGGGGTATTTTCCAGATCCAGAGCTGGCAGTTCTGTCAGGGAGGAGAGAGTGAGAAAAGAGAAGTGCAAAGTATTTTTAGTAGGGTCTTTGAGAAGGAGGGACACATGCAATCTCAAGAGGAAACATGGAATAGAGAGCCAAGTAGCACCCCTGTCCCCAAACCAAACCAATATGTGTCTTCCATTGGCCCTAAGTTGTAATTTTTTAACATCTTTGCATATTTTAAGATCTGAATTGGATTTAAATTTACTGGGACATGAAAATAATTGCTCCTGAAACAAAGGATTTGGCCACCTGAAGTTCTTACTAAGGTGAGGCGGTCTTGTGGGGCAGTGACCACCTGTTCTATGTAGGTCATTAGGAGCCTATAGTAATTTTTATTGCTCCAACATTCATATTCCCCAACTTTTTAGAGCATTTTCATGTTCATAGCAAAACTGAGAGGAACAGAGTTTTCTCATGTGCCTCTTCTGCTATGTATGCAGAGCCTACCCCATTATCAATGTCACTTACCACAGTGGTGCATTTGTTACAATTGATGAACCTACATTAACACATTATAATTCCCCAAATCCATAGTTTATGTTAGGGTTCACTCATGTTGTACACTCTATGGTTTTGTACAGACATGTGCCCACCATTATCGCATCATACAGAGTATTTTCATTGCCCTAAAAATCCTTTGTGTTCCACCTAATCATCTTTCCCACACTCCAGACTCCTAGCGCCAGTGACTTTTCAGTCAATAGGGAAGAGTTCTGTCTTTTAAAGAACATCCTGTGTTTGGAATCATACAGTGTGTAGCCTTTTTAAACTGGCTTCTTTCACTTAGTAATGTGCAATTAAGGTGCCTCCATGGCTTTTCATAGCTAGAGAGCTCATGTCTTTCTTACTGAGTAATATTCCATTGTCTGGATGTACCACAGTTTGTTTACCCATTCACCTACTAAAACACATCTTAGTTACTTCCAAGTCTTGACAATTATAAATAAATCTGCTATAAATATCCATGTGCAGGTTTTTGGATAGATGTAAGTTTTTAACTCCTTGGGTAAGTATCATAATGTATACATAAGACCATGTCTGGTTTTGGAGGAAACAGCCAAACTCTCTTCCAAAGTGGCTGCACCATTTTGCATTCCCACCAGCAGTGAGTGAGAGCTCCTGGGGCTCCACACCTTTGCCATCATTTGGGTTTGTCAGTATTTGAGATTTTGGTCATTCTAATAGGTATATAGTTGTACCTTATTGCTGTTTTAATTGCATTTCCCTGGTATATGATGTAGAGCATCTTTTCATAAGCCTGTTTGCCATCTGTATATCTCCCATGGTGAGGTATCTCTTAAGGTCGCTTGGCCCATAATTTAATCAGATTGTTTTCCTATTGTTGATTTTTCAGTGTTCATTGGAAATTTTGGATAGTAGTCCTTTATCAGATGTATCTTTTCCAAAAATTTTCTCTCAGTCTTTGGCTTGTATCATTACCCTATTTTTTAAAGATCAAATAGCTTTGTAGAAAAAGAGAAACTATAAACATTCTTAAATACAAGTTAGAGAGCATCTCTTAGATGTGTGGGAAAAGGTAGAAAGATGTGCTGATTCCTATCTTAGTCTAGCTTGGAGGGAAATGCAAATTAATATGAAAAGGAAAGCAGGAATCATTGGTAGTGCTTAGTTGTTTCAAAAGCCATGGGGTATTAAGCATTCCCAGTCTAGAGGTATACTGAAGTCGACCGAGGTGGAAGTGGGGATCTTTGTGGAAACTGAACTTCATCAGATTGGCCTTGAAAGCTAGGCAGATCTTCAGCATTGAGAGAGGCAAGAAATGACACCCCAGTTGAGAAACAGTCCAGTTAAAAATATTTCAGTTTATATTTTAGAGAAAAAAAGAATTAGTTATGATTTAGATTTAGATCCTGAATATTCTCAGGTCTGTAAGAGGGTGTTTTCTTTACCTTGAGTAACTGGGTGATAAATCCTTCATGATTCCAAGTAGTTCTGTTCATAGCAGACAGCTGGGCTGTGTGTGTCATGTGTACGATAAGAATAGATGAGCCCCACATATTGGCATTCAGAGAAGTGTATTATAATACTTTAAAGTATTGCACATTGCCAAATCCAACATCTGTTCATGATGAAAACTCTTAATAAAAGTGGGTTTAGGGAGAACATATCTCAACATAATAAAGGCAATACTTAGCAAACCCACAGCTAACATCATACTCAATGGTGAAAATCTAAAAGCTTTTATTCTAAGATCAGGGACAAGACAAGGATGTCCACTCTTGTCACTTTTTCAACATAGTACTGGATGTCCTTGCCACAGCAATCAGACAAGAAAAAGAAATAAAAGGCATCTAAATTGGTAAAAGAATAAGTAAAACTGTCACTGTTTAGATGACATGATACTATCTGTAGAAAACCCTAAAGGTGCTGGCAAAAAACTATGAGAATAATAAATGAATTCAATAAAGTTGCAGGATACAAAATTAAGATACAGAAATCTTTTGCATTTATTTTTCTCCCTTTTTATTGAAGTATAGTTGATAAGCAATATTATATTGGTTTCAAGTGTACAATAGTTATTAGACTGTTGTCTGTGTTATTAAGTTATTATATACACAATGGAATATTATTCATCTATAAAAAGAATGAAATCTTGCCATTCTTGACAACATAGATGAACCTAGATGGTATTGTGCTAAATTAAATAAGTCAAAGACAAATACTATATGATTTCATTTACAAGTGGAATCTAAAAATAATAATAACAAAGAAAAATTGAAACACTCATAAATACAAAGAACAAATTGGTGGTTGTGAGGGGAGTGAGGGGGTAATGGGCAAATAAGTGAAGGGGATTAAGGGTACAACTTCTAATTATAAAGTAAGTCACAGGATGAAAAGTATACCATAGGAAATACAGTCAACAGTATTGTAGTAACTTTGTATAGTGAAAGATAGTAACTATACTTACCACTGTGAGCATTTCATAATGTATGTAACTGTTGAATCACTATGTTGTATACCTGAAACTAATAAAACAGGTATGTCAACTATATTTCAATTGTATATATATATATATATATATATATTGTATTTTGCCATTTAAAAATATATTAGGTATACTTCCAATCCTATGAAATATTTACGTTACATTTTATGAAGTAATTCTAGTCTATCTCTGATTATACAGTAATAATATATTTGTGGGATCCTGAAAGCAGGCTACATGTAGTGATCACATGGAGGCATTTTGAACGCTGCTGATTTAAAGTTTCCCATTGTAAAGTTTTTCCAGAAGCATTTTATTTTGTTGATAGATTTGAGTAGAGCTGCTCTTTATAGAGATGTTATCCATTTAGCTGGAACTACCTGTGGGTCTAAGTTATCATATGTGAACCATGGATCATTAATCAGGCCTTGTAATGAGTGATTTCTATACCACTCCAGACTCAGTTGCCAGGGACCTCAGTCAGATTTAAGCAAAAAAAAATCAAAGGGGTGGAGCATGGAGGGCAAGGTATCACACAGCTGAAGGGTCCATGGGTTCACTTCAGGTGCTCCTGAATCTCTATGCTCAGGTGATGCTTTCCGCACTCTTTCCATTCTGTCGGCTCTGTTGGATTCACACTTGATTTCAATCTCAGGCAAGTTTTCTTCTAGAGGCGAAGTTGGGGTGCAGACACCTGGGTAGAAAAGGTCGTGTGGCAGAGCAGGGGTTGTCCCTGAGGGGAAGGGGTGCTGGGCTGACTGAGGAGGGCAGGGGGCGCAGCAGGGCCACGGCTGCTCACTGACATGGCTCTCAGGTGTCCTGTTGGCCACTGATCTTTTATGTATCAGGTCGCCCTGTGCTTAACAGATGATCAGAAAGAAACTTGGCTCCTTTGATCTAAATCAAAATCAGATGCCATCGTAAGACTCAAGGACAATTTACAAAGCGGTTTTAAAGCACATTGCCTTGTAAACAGCACCCTAGTACCAATATTATGTACAGTCCTTGTTGGATAAATTAATTCAATATATACATTCACTCCGTTGTCTATCTGTTTAACGGATACTCATGCAGTTGGACCGACTAAGCTCTGAAGTCATTTCTGTTTCTAAGAATATATGACTCAGCAATTCTTGTGCAAAATCGATTGCAGGTTGCTTTTTCGTTTTTTTTCTTTTTTTTTGACATAAATATTGAGTGGAAACAGTAATTGCTCTTGAAAAGCCAAATTCAGGAAAACTTTCTACAATGATAGAAGTGTTTTGTGTTATTCAGCGCATGAATTGTGGCTGGCATGGCTGAGGAAGTGAATTTTATATTTAATTTTAATTTTGATTTAAATTAAAATAGGCACAACTAGAGTTATCAACTCATTGAGGCAAGATTTTTGAGAAACAGTTGAAATATGAAGCAACACAAGATGTGTGGGTTTGCACAGTGAATTCAAAGGCCCGACCCCCTCCCTGTCTTTTCAGTCTCCAGCACACAGCTCCTCGAGCTACGACTCAGGCAGGAACGAGGGCGCGGACCGCGGAGCCGAGGACCCCTCTCTGCCCCGGGGCGCAGAGGACGAGGAGGACCATGCTGGCGCTGAGGGTGCCACCCAGACGGACGGCGTGGAGGCCGAGCGGCTGAAGGCCTTCAATGTGAGTCCTGCACACTCCCGGCGGCCTGATGTTTTACAGCTTCACTTCATGCTGTTGCTTGTTGGTAAATGTGGGTATGTTAGAGACATGTTTGTTTAATTTACAGAAGGATTTAAAAAGTACATGAAACACTCTTTGCCAACCAGACACCAGAATGACTGTGTTTTGTTTAGAGTTTTAAAGCCGAATGTGAGCTGAGAACTGAGTTGTGTCGTGTGAGTGCGCACGCTCACCTGGCGGGTGACGGGGCTCAGCTGATAACCCTCGGAAGAGCATGCCCATCATCAGTCATTTCTTCTGTCTCCCGGCTGATCTGATCATGCATGACAAAAAGGCAGCTGTTTTGTTTCAGAGATTAGGACCCTGTGCAACATAGCAACGTGGCAGTCATATTTATTATGAACAGAGAATTGTATGGGGTGCTTAATTGTCAGTCTACTGTTACTCCCTGATTTTTTTCTACACAGTAGTCTATATTTCTCTGTCTGTCTGTCTGTCTGCTTTTCTCTCTTTTTCTCTCTCTAGTTTTTATCCAGTCATTTAGAAAGTCTTTAAAGGGTGTTTGCTTGAAATTTCTGGCTTTCCACTGCAAAGTTCTCCAGTGCATAAACCAGAAAAGAGTATTTTCCTATCGGTATTCAAGACAGGAAGCTAGGGGCAGCAGAGAGCCGCCCTCCAAACCCTTCTCCTCTGTCTCCCTCTTGCCAACAGATGTTTGTCAGGCTGTTTGTAGATGAAAACTTGGACCGAATGGTCCCAATCTCTAAGCAGCCCAAAGAAAAGATCCAGGCTATCATTGACTCATGCAGGCGGCAGTTCCCTGAGTACCAGGAGCGCGCCAGAAAGCGCATTCGGACTTACCTCAAGTCCTGCAGGCGGATGAAACGAAGTGGTTTTGAGATGGTGAGTCTTGAACTGAAACGGAGCCCTGGACCCCATCAGACCCCTGTGTAAACCATGGCACGTTGTTTTTTCCATCTTAGTGTCCTTTTTATTTTCCCATGATGTCAGGTCAGGGGTTTGTCTGCTTGTTTGTTCCCCCCTTCCCCTTCTCATCTTCTGAAGCATTTGCCCTCTCTGTTCACTCAGTAAAGAAGGTATGTGAGGCCCGTGCCTCCGGGCCCCTGCTGCATACGGGGGAGCGGGAGTCATGCCCGTGGGAACACGCACGTCGTTCGTGTGCGGTGCTCGCTACCACTGCAGAGAGGGGTCCGTGCCGTCCGGACCTGGGCGCCCCGGGTGCTGCGGGCGGGAACTGAAGGCCATGAGTGGGTCCATCCAAGGAAAGCCGTTTTCGAGCCAGTGAAACCCATAGCAAGCCCTGAAACAGAGGGTCAGGGAGCAGAAGCCCTCGTGTGGCGGACTGGCTGCACCGCGCTCCGCGTGACCCGTGCCCTGGCCGGCAGTGGAGGAGCTGACACCCACATCCTACACTTAGGGCTGGAAGGCAGATACTGGTGTTTTCGAACATTCTATTTCACCTTGCTGTAACTGTTACACCCAGAAATAGTGCATATATTTACAATGTAGTTTTTTAAATCTCTTTGTTTTTATGTGTGTATAAGCAGAAATGTATCAGAAAACTTCTGAAACCATTTTTTTTTCTCTTGGCTCCATAAAAGCCAAGATTGTTAAGGTTTGTGATCTGTGCCTCTAATTTATTAGGTGTGATAGGGCAGGAGTTGGTATAGAGAGGAGAGGCTTCTGAGTATATCATACGTGAGAAATAGTTTTTTAGATATCAATGAAACAGCAAAACAAACAAATCCGCTGTCTACTACATTTTTACAAGACAATGTAGTAATTCTACATTGTCTTGTAAAAATATCTTTGATATTTTTTGAAAGAAAAGTGACTTACTTATAGAGAGGCCATCTGTCTAGATGATAATGAATATAAGAGATTGCTTGAATGAAATAAAACTATTTTCCCCATTATTGAATTATCTAAAAATTATCACCTACCCAGTAGGAAAGAGATGATAGACAAAAATGGTATCTTGACAGATGTTAAAGCCCAGAACCCTGGCATTGACATTAAGTTCAGGACCCCTTAGCAGTTGATGTAAAATTCCACTTGAAGCTAAGTATGTCCCATTCAGAGTTCAGTGTAGAGTACGTATTTTCCTCTTTCAGTAACAATAAAGGTAATGTCATATATCATGATTTTTATTTAACCAGCATCAGGCATTACTATGACTTCAAATACTTTAATCTTATTTGAAGATTCTTCTCTTTGGTAAAATTTGTTTTCTTTTCCATTGATCATTCTTTAAGAGAAAAAAATGTGTAGAATTCTTAGTTTCTCTAAGGCATATCTGAGATAATCAAAAACACTGAGTTTTTTCATTAATTATATATGTTTATTTCAATGTGGATAAGTATTTATTGTAAACCTTGTGCTGTGTATAGGCCAGGAGACAAAGTTGACCAACTCAAAATCAGGTAGTTTAAAAACTAATCTTGAAGGAAATATGCTGTAAAGAAATTGAAAAATTTTCATTCTTTCATTTGTTCATTTATTTAATATTGTACATTAAATTATACAAAGTAATGAGAACTACAACAGATGTCTGACCTGTTCAGTAGGAAGATATGACATGTTCCCTGATCATTATGATCATTGAGGGGATGAGTTCTGCTAAGTGAAACGCTTAAGTAATAATTCAAGGCCTAATATACTTGGATGTTGAATAACATGGATTAAGAATTGATATCATAGGTTAGTCCTGTTTTTATCCTTTACTCAGCAATGTTCTACTGGAAATACCAAGTCCACCATCGACATGACACTTGGCACTGGGCCTTGTTTATGCATCACTTTGTTGTCATGCAGCATGGAGAGGATTGAGTGTCATTTTGAACAATGATCCAGAGCAGAGGAAAGGGAGTGATTGGGATAATTCATGTACTAAATATTGTACATGAATATTTTTTCCCTCTAATTCTAAAATTTGATGTTAGATAATATCCATAGTTTTTTTTAATGGAAATAACATTAAACAAAAATTCATTCTTCTATTGTGTTCTATGTAGGTAGATATGAAGAAAATGTATCGTTTTCAGTTTGCGGTTGTTTTTGCACTGAAAGTATTCTGCAGTACTCAACAAGTCAAGAAGGCAGCCAAAAGAGGTTTCTAGTGTATTTGTAGAATGGAATCATCAAGAGCAGGATTGTCTGGTAGGGGCTCTGTGTCATTGAATGAAAGTGTCATATTCTATAAGCTCAGCTCTCCCAGTTGCTTGGGCATTTAAGCCAGGAGACCCCTTAAGTAGAGGGAAACACAAAAAATTCCTGTTTACTTTGAGAACTTGAAAGAGAGATTTCCATAGAAGTTGTTTATCACAACATATATTAGAACATATATAGTATTGAGAATGTTGACTTTCACTTTTATTAATTTTGTGCTGTCATTCGTACAAAATCTACTCATGTTTAATTATTCTACACTATCCCTTGAGAATTTATATGCCAATCCAAATACTTTTAGTTACTTCACTGAATGCATCTTGAGTATGTATTTATGCATTCATATTTCATTGGATTTATCAAAACCCCACATATCTTGATTGCTTAAGCAGCCGGAATTTCATGTCATCCCTCCAAAGAGTCTTTAAAATGCATGAAGTAGAATAACTAAATTATGATACTTTTCTTCAAATTTTAATCAGTTCACTGTTACTGATCATGTCAAACCATAAACCCTCAGAGTTGAATGTAAAAGGGCATGTTTCATGAAAATCAAACCTTGTAAGTGTGCAGAGGGCTTAGTTTTCACTACATTTTAAGAACTGAGCAAAGCAGTCATTAAGTTAATCCTTAGACAAATGTATCAAATTTTTATTGATTCTACTCTGTAGCTTTGACTCTCAAATTATTTTGGCTACTTTTCTGAAGAACATCTGTGATTTTTCCAGAAAAGAAATGTGTTTCTTCTGATCTCTAATTCAAGAACATCTATAAAAGATCCTAAAAACAAAGCTTTATGCACAAAGTGGGGTTTTGTTTGTACCTGAGAATAATCTGTCTTTTGTGATAAGATTTCTCTTTTGTTTTCCACATTTGCATTGTTAGAGACTCTTCTGCACGCTGCACATTGTTTACATGTTTGTTTGTTTATGAAACTCAAGTGAAAATGTTAAGGGAGATAGTCTGGGAGACTCACAGTCCATCATTCTTCCTGTATCTTGAATTTTGATACTTACACTGTGTTAGATCAAGTAACCTAGATATTTTAATTCAGTGAACTCAACCTCTTGAAAAATTACCTACTTAGTTTTTAAATATTATATGAATAACTGTGTTTGTTTGAAGCAATAAGTCTATGTCATTTTTTGTAAAATTTTGTCAAGGATGTTGTCCACTAGGTCACAAGTTAACTTATTTCAGAAATTTATTTTAGAGTGTAATGCAAGAAAAAAATATTTGTGTCTCCTGTGGAAATAGAGTGCTTTACAATTTTCTCATTACTGGGACGATGCAAGTCAGTAAGTTCACTTTTGTGCCATGATGCCGGGAAGTTCAGAGCCAGTCTTGCTAAGGTCCCGGTTACCTGTTTGTGTACTTTATCTTAGGGCACATATTTTCCTGGTGGCTCTGAGATCTATTTTTTGGAAAAGTAAGACATAAATTTAAAAACATATCTGTAAATAATCTAATTATGAAAATACCATACATACTTTCATACCATCTTCTAAGTTCTTTATTCATAGTCGTTCATTTTAGTTGCATCCTGTAGAACCCTCCTCAGTAATTTTGGTATCTGGCTTTCTGATCTCACAGTTCTTTCATCAGAAAATAAATATTTAGTGTTTAGGGCAGAGCACACATTTTGAGGGACTTTGACTAATCACATCACTTATCTCTATTTGCCTATTGCAGAACAGAGTAGAGGGATCTGAATTCGTTTTCAAGTCAGCTTCTTTGACATTGTAAGCATTGCAAAAGCTACAGTGACACTTGCTGGGGTTTTTTTTTTTGGCAAATAGAGATATTATGAAAAATGAAGTTAAGTGCTTATTCAAACTAAAATTTGACTAGAAATATACCCATCCCTTCATTCAAGTTCTTGGTTAAAAGCTCTAATACCTGCACCATTACTATTCATGTGACTCTTCACACAATTAGGACACAATCTGTTGCTCTTTGTGACCAATTAACTTAATTATGCTAATTAGCAAACACATTTTACTGAGCTTCCACCAGTTTCTGCGTCTCTTTCGTCAATGTCACCGTGCCCATCTCCAGGACACTTTGATGCTCTCCTCTGAGTTCCTTACTTAGAGCATTTCTTCTTATTACATTCTCTAGTACCTCCTTAAAAATGTTAATTTCTGCCCTGACCCGTCATTTGTTTCACTTTCTCAGTGTGGCCCTTATTAGCAGGGATGTGCCTTAGTCTCAGTAACCACTCAGAGAGCTGGCATCGGAGCCTCTGCACCAGGAGGGCGCCCTGCGGCGCCCACAGAGGCGGTCCCGCGCCCACTACCCCGGGAGCCTGGCCCCCCGGCCCCTGTCACTCAGCCTCCTTCAGAATGTCTTCAGCAACCACCCGACTCGCACTTTTAACTTTTCCTTTTCACTGAAGGAGGAAAATTCCTTCTCTTCCGCTTTAAAAAAAGTCCCCAGATTCCAAGAAAATACTTAATCTTGTAACTCCTCTTCCACAATCTGTGTCCATTTTGTTTGCCCCGATTCTTGAAAGACTATTTTATACTGCGAGTCCCTCCTGTCGGCACCTCACTCGTGGCCCTCGTGGTCAGTCTCGGCTCTCGCCATTCCCTTGGGTTAGTTCTCGGGCAGCTCACACCATGACCTTTGCACCAAATCCAAAAGTCGCACCCTCGGGTCACTCCCATTCTCTTGTGACTCTGGTTGTTTATCTTCCTCATTTGCCTTTCCCT